AGCCTGGAGCTGCTCGCACTGTTTTTAAAGGATGAAGACAAATTATGAGTCAAGGAAGAGGATGTGGTGGCAAGTAATTTCTGAACAAGTCTAACCTCTGTTTGCACAGCGTGCAACACCTTTCTACAGAAATTCACTCGCATGTCAGCAGCACAGAGCCGTCAGACACGTTGGCTGTCTGCAGGCCGACGATGTGAGGCGCAGAGTTGGGCTGAAAAAAGCACATAACAACAACTGAGGAGAAGCAGGAAGCAGTTCGTTCAGAGGGTGTACAGAGGAGCATTCATGTGGCTGTTGAAGCTCGGGCTTCAAAGACTCCTCATTTTGTGGTTCACTGAATTCATCACCATGAGATTTCACATTGTGGTTTCATGGTATGGGTGTAGTGTAAGATGGTGACATAAATAATGTCCCATTTCTACAGCTATGTATACTATAGGATGTATATGTACTATATGTGAAGGACATCCTGAGCAGGGAGCAGCTCCTCAGCATGGAGACACGTTTACTGCCTCTCAGCCAGAGAGGAAGCTGCGGATACTTATTAGTACGCTTCACCACATTTCAGAGGGAATATGTTGTAGTTTTTGTTCCGCTGCAAGTACTTATTCACTTTAGTTTCTTTGATTTTACATGGAAACATCTGACCGAGTTACAGAATCTGACGCATCACCAAGTGAAAGGCTGATTAAAGTCATCTTATCTCAGCAAACGTCATGTCCTCAAGCATTACAGGAGAGTGAGAGAGCTGTCAATCAACCCCAGTCTGAGCCCCCCCCCCCCCCCAACACACAGTCCTGAGAAGTCATGAGTGAAACACCTGAGCAGGTGGACCACAGCTGCTGCGTCTAAATATTTAACACAGAAACCACAGACGTGATGCTTATCTTTCTGTCCTCTCCTGGGTCACTCTGCACTTTCACTTCAGCAGAGCTTTGAACTGACACATGATGGTACTACTACTGTATTTAAGACTTGTGTTTGGTTATAACAACAATATCAAAACAGCTAAATGTACTTTTATTCTTCCCTTGTGATCTTTTTAAAACCCAAATGTAGTAAGAAGTTGTGACTCTTCACTCTCACTAAGCTTATTAAGTTAATAAAATAGAGAAGTGAGCAGAAATATCTTTTCTATCAGCTGTGAATAAACACGTACTGAGCCTTTTTTTTTCTCGTGACAGACAGAAAGATGCTGTGTCCTGATCTCTGCAGGCCCTGAACGCAACACTAAGGCTGAAAACACCCACTGAACTACAGTAAGTATTGCATAAATACAGCGTACACACGTATAGTATTGTGTATACGGTGTATAGCGTGTTGAAGCCACCAGGATCCAGAACCACAGCTCTGAGTGTAAACAGGTGGCTCATCAGATTCCCATCAGTGCCAGAGAGGGAGGCGACCAAACACTTGAAACCACAGCTGAAGATTTTGCGATGTTGAGTCGAGATAGGAACCTCAGGCGTGTGGTTAGCGGGGCGGGGGTGTGCTTCTCCTCCCAGCAGAGAGAGCGGCATCCAAACTCTGAAGTCTGTTTACTGAAGCTGAGCAGGATCCTTCCTCCTCCTCCTCCTCCTCCTCCTCCTCCATCACGTTCCAGTGAGGAACTAAGCAGTCCCAACATCTCCCCCTGTGCTTCCATGATTTTCTCCACTCTGTCTCCGTCGTGCTGAAAACGCAGCGTGTTTTCAAACCACAGCCGCCGCCCACGGACGCACCCGAGAGCTCGACGCCCCACCGAGCTCTCAACCCACCGGGCCTCGTCTCCACCCACGGCTGCCTCTCACGCTCAAACATCCACATGTTCTGCAGAACGGCGTCAGCACAGGACGTGTGCAGGCTCACCGTGACCGGCTTTCTACAGATAAACGTCCTCCAAACCTTTTCACTTTGCAGGGATGTGACGACTAGAGGGGAAATCACCTTTATCACAAACAGTAGCTCCTGTGTTGCGTCCCCCAGCAGTCCCTCATTACTGTCTCGTGATCTTACAGTTCTACGTGGTTTTTGTCCCCGGGTGAAGTGGTGCATCATTCAGACTGCTGCAGGATGAGTGTCGTGCGAAGTTCAGTCTGTGGTCCGACAAGTTGTCACGATCAGTTCAGTACAAACTTGACACATCAACACAGTAACCAGACTGTGAGCGCTACAGTTTCCACAGGCCTCAGGGGAAAGTGCCTGACATACACATAATAAATAAAACTCCTCTTGCAGAAAGGTTTACGAGTACTTTAATGGAAACTCTTCAAATAAGGAACAAAAAGAATGAATGAATGCTCGCAGGCAGCAACACCGGGAGGCTTCCTGTCCAGCAGGTGCTCTGAATGGTCACTAATCAGCTACCAGAGTAACGGAGATTCAGCCAAACTAATGGGGAAATAAATTCAAATAGCAGAAAAAGCTACCATTGTTTGCGGTCAGCAGCTGGACTCTGTGGTCTCTCCTCACTGTAGGTTTACACTACAGACACGTCGCTGCCTCTGTGCGATCAGTTCATGCTTACTGCAGGTGGTGAGATGTTCAGGAGCAGCTCGGCTGTTAAACCGTCCAATAAGAACACAGCGCTCCACTTCACGCGCCAAACTTTAGCAAAAGTAATTTATCTTCTGTTTTTTTGAGTCGACATCAGAGCCAAAGATGAAGACCATGAGCTGAAAGGTCCTCGGGACTCATTTTACAGTGACCTTATTTCAGAGAACAGCCTCCGGTGGCTGTTGAGTGTGGCTCCTCTGTTTGTTCCTGCCTCGCTCAGACAGTCAGTCACTGTCTCCCAGCATGCTCTGCTTCACAGCACGAAACATTTAGTCTATTCCTGTGCCTTGAAACTACCTGAAGCACTGAGAGTAGGAAACGGTGGTAACCACGCTGAGGCCTGCTGGCTTCACGGATCCTGTGAAACTGCATGAACATGAGAGTAGAGACAGAGCAGCTGATGGGGGGCAGAAAAACAAGAGGGACCCTGTGGTACTTTCCCACAGAACACGAACCGGCTGCACAAAGAGACAGAAACACGCAAACAGGGAGATTTTGAAGCTGCTTTGCTGCAGACGGACGTTGAGTCCATCGAGTCATGTGATCCTGACAGACGCTGACAGACGTGTTGCGTCTGGTTCAGCCGAGGCCGAGCGCCTGATCGTGGAGCTCGTAGTAAACTAAACACATGTACATACTGGCCTCATTTGGAAACCAACCAGATCACTTGAGCAGACAGGAAGTGGTTTGTAGGTTACTGGTTAGAGCTCTACTTCATTTTGCTGCTCGACAGAGAGGAAGACTCATGTTCGGCTGCAGGTCTGTCTCTCAGTTCAGAGTGCACCAAATGAGATCCTGTCAGTCCGGCTCTCGCTGGCAAACATGGAAGTTTTCAGAGCAACGGAGGCTGTTAAAGACCAGCTCAGACCTCAGACCTCAGCCGGTGAGGTCGACTCTGCAGGTGTTTGAACGGGGTGCACTGTCCCTGCTGCTCCTTAAATTCCAAAACCGTCCTCCCAGTTTGCCGGTTTGGACTTCAGGGCTCTCGGGACAGGAACATGTCCCAGCTGTGTGTCCTATCTGAAGACAGGAAAAGTCCTGTCTTCCTGCTACAGAAACAGTTCCTAAACTCTGTGTGCTTCCTCGCTCAGACCTGGTATCTGATCTAAGATTCACTCGTCCCACCAGGCCTGTATCCGAGTGTGGGATGCACAGGAGTATCCATGACAACGGCCGTCTCACCTCACTCGTCACTGGCTGGCTAGCTGCTATGATAGACAAGAAAAGACGACCGTTATATTGAAGCTCAGGATGAGTCAGAGGCTTCCTGTGGAGGAGGGAGTTTTCTTCCAAGTGTTCGACCCAAGGCAAAGTTCTGAACGTACTACATTTAAACAGAGCAGCCTTTCAGCCATAATATGTTCTTTTTGTTCCTCTTCATCACTTTAAATGCCATCCAGCCCTAACGACAGTGCTGCCGCCATCTGTGCCAGTAGGACAGGATCTGTCCTAACTCAGGACTCCTGATTCAGGTGTCTTCAGTCAGGATGCTGTCCTAAGATAAGACAGGGTTTCTTCCTAAATGCGGCATGGAAACATGTTTCTGTGACACCACAGATGCTTTAAGTCGTGCTGAACAGAGTTAAGACAGCATCTCAGACAGGGCGTTCTGTACCGAGGCCCCAGGAGCACTTAAACAGGAAAAAAATAGAAGCAGAGATAAAGAGGAATCATCGAGCTTGCAGACTGTGATGTCTGAACGAGCTGCTCATAAAGTAGTTATCTAACATTTTCCACCTCCAGCAGCTACAGAGCAACACCATGAGCAGACCGGTTAGTGTCACCTGATGGATATCTGTCTCTGTAGCTGCTGAGTGCGAGCCGGGCGTGTTCATTAGAGCCCATTAGAAAGTGAACCGGGCAGGAAATGTGCTGCGAACCCAGAACTACCAGCCAAAAGAGGCTAAAAGCCCACAGAGCTGCAGAGAGATCTGAGTCTGGGACCAGCAGAGACTAACCAGTGTAGCTTTAAGTCTGCTAACATTAGCCTCCGTGAGCTACTGGTCAAACCGGACCAAGAGAGTGACCTGACTTGAGAAACAGCTTTGTTGCCTGAGAGTTCAAGAGTCAAAAGTTACAGTCTTCAGAATCAGAAACGGTTTTATTGCCAAGGGTGCCAGACACAAACATTTCTCTATGTGAAAAAGATAAAAACGTGCAGTGTGGCAGATATTTACATGTGCAATTTTCTCTTCAAAGGGGAATTAAAGACTAAATTTGACACCAGATTCTGATTTAGTTTTAGAGCTCACTCTGAGTGATTTACAGAGATTTACAACCCTAACCGTCATCAGTCCCTCAGTCCCTCAGAGACTCAGTGACTCAGAGACTCAGAGGAAAGCAGCTTACATGTCAGGACTCTTGACATTTACACACTCAAAATGTTGGACAGAAAATGTGTCGTCAGCTTTTTAGTCAGAGTGTCTTGCACATGAACACTGTAAGGAGCAGGACCCAAATACAGACTATAGAGGCAGGCAGGGACAGTTCAGACACAAGCTGTCAGCCACTGGTGTCCACACTGTCCCACACTGTCCCACACTGTCCACACTGTCCCACACTGTCCCACACTGTCCCCCACTGTCCACACAGTCCCACACTGTCCCCACTGTCCCACACTGTCCACACAATCCCACACTGTCCACACTGTCCCACACAGTCCCACACTGTCCCACACTGTCCCACACTGTCCCACACTGTCCCCCACTGTCCACACAGTCCCACACTGTCCCACACTGTCCCCCACTGTCCACACAGTCCCACACTGTCCCACACTGTCCACACAATCCCACACTGTCCACACTGTCCCACACTGTCCCACACAGTCTCACACAGTCCCACGCTGTCCCCCATTGTCCCCCACTGTCCACACAGTCCCACACAGTCCCACACAGTCCACACAGTCCCACACTGTCTCACACAGTCTCACACTGTCCACACTGTCCCACACTGTCCCCCACTGTCCACACAGTCCCACACTGTCTCACACTGTCTCACACTGTCTCACACTGTCCACACAGTCTCACACTGTCCACACTGTCCCACACTGTCCCCCACTGTCCACACAGTCCCACACTGTCTCACACTGTCTCACACTGTCTCACACAGTCCACACTGTCCCACACTGTCCACACAGTCCCACACAGCAGAGTGTTTGGTCCACACCAAAGGCATGTGTCTTCTCCACTGCACCATCGCCACCCCAGGTACATGTAACAAAAGTAACTTAATGTTATTAAATGTTAATGGGAAATGTGCAGCTGTCCAATGACAAGAGGACATTTGGACATGTGGCTGTTTGTGAATGAAAATAAAGAGAATTTGTAATAGTTTTTACTTTGATGTTAGATGGTAGCGATGTTGCGGTGTAAATATAGAGATTTATTGTCCCAAGCTTCTCCTGAAGACGTTCATGGTGTCGATGTTCACATAAAAAGGTGACAGAAACAGTTGAAGACTGAAAACAGATTTGCTCCTAATTAGAAGATTCCCAACTGTAATCTGAAGAGTGTTATGTTGTTTGAGGTTAATGTGTGTTTACAGTGAAGGATCTTTTCTCCATCAGCCTTTACTCTGCTCTGTATTCAGCACTGACGGAGTTAACTGTCCAATAAGTCATCTTCTCTGCACAGAACCTGCCGTCTGCTGAACAAAGATGTTTTCTGATTTACAGAACATCCTGTGAACAAATCAACCAACCCAGCAGCCCCCCCCCCCCCCTTCCTCTGCACGCTCGCCACTCCTTCTTCCTCTCTCCCTGCCAGAAAAGCTCTCAGCTGGTGGGACGGCAGCATTATGAATCTGCAGAGGACCGAGCGAGTTCACCTCTGCAGCTGTGAGGAGCCTCTGTGAGGTGATGGCGTTTGGCGTCTGGCTGCTGCTGCTGCTGCTGCCGGCTGCAGCTCAGGCTCAGAGCGGAGACGGAGTCACTGACATGGGTGAGGAGGTCATTTAAACTCTCCAGCACAGGCTTAATATGCATAGGACAAGAACATGGCATTTCTTGCTCATGGTAATTTAGTGACACTAATATTATTATTATTATAAATGACACTTATAAATAAATACATATATTTTTCATAGCTCCTAATGAGGTTCTCAGAATATCCAAACAGAGCATTAAATGTCACGTTTGGTCCTTTGCATTGTGCCATTAGTGATGCAACAATATATCTGAGAGGAATTATTACACATTAGTACAGAGCCAGAGGGTTGCCAGTTCAGATTCTTCGTGCTTTTATTTCTTCACGGCTACTTTTCTTTTAAGCGTCAGCTGAAAACAGAGTCAGAATAAAGGTCTTTGAAAACACATCGCAGGAGATCTTATCATGTGAGCGGCAGTGTATCAGATTGTGAGGAAGGTGGAAGCAGAAAGGTCAACCTGTTCACCTGTGGGAGTTCATGATGTCACACCAGGCAGAAATCGAGCCCAACACCTTCTTACTCTGGGGAGACGGGGCTGACCACTGCTGCCACAACGCAACTGAAAACTAAAGGGGACAGAGTGTTTACAGTCAGGGGCCCCAAGGCTCGGAAACAACCTGCCTGAGGAAATCAGGTCGGCTGAGTGACTGAACTCCTTTAAGTCTCTTCTTAACACAAACTTTTATAGGAGAGACTTTTAATTCCTCAAACATGTTTTCATATTTTATCTGTTTTACCTTAAGACCTGATGGTTTTAAGACCTGCATGTTTTTACTGTCTGCTCCTCTGAAAGCACTTCATAATATGGATTTTGAAAAGTGCTCTCTAAATAAAGATGATGATTAGCATGATTATGTCTGCCATCCAGAGCTAAAACATTCATATTCATTTTTTTCTTTCAGACTTTATTTACTGTAAAGGGTCACTCCTCTGATTTTTCACACATAAGAATCATAAAATAATCCACATAGTTTTTATCTATTTAAGTGTTTCTAACATTAATCTTTAAAACCCTTTAATATAAACTAAATTAAAACTAAATGTGTAGTTGTTGTTATGGTTTTGAAGGTGCAACATTCTTAAAGAGAGACTCTGTGAATTTTACTGTGATTTTCCACCTCAGCGTGTTTCAGGTGTTACCAGGTGTTGGGGAGTACTCCTGCATATGTTTTACAGTACTATAAAGATTTTAGTGTCTCCAAATGGAGCTGTGTGAAGTATGATAAATGTCCTCAAGTGATGTCACGAGATGGCGTCTGTTGGAGACTACAAGTCTGAAAATTAAAGAATCTGTTGGTTTGGACTTAGAAGTGAGCTCACAGACCTCTGTGGCTGCTGTTTATTCAATTCTATTCAATTTTATCTCTGCAGTAACTGCTAATAGTAGTAATAACACACCCCAGTCTCACACAGCATAGGAGAGTCATAGAGTCATAGTCAGAGTTGCAATGAGCGTAATGTAGGCGCCAGGTTTGGACAAGGAACAATGTGTGAAAAAGACATGTTTGGTTCTGATGCATGGATTTAAATAGTTACCTTTGAGTGACCCAAACCTTTTTTTGCTGAATTTGGTAACTTAATTTCTTTGTCTATGAAACTTTCTTGCGGTGTACCTCAAGGTTCGATTCTGGGCCCCACTCGTTTGTTTGCAGCAGATTTTTACGCAGATGATGCACAGTTATATCTTCCTTTTCCGACTGATTCTTCTAGTCGGGTTTCCCTAAAAGACAGCTTTGAAGATATTCAGTTGGTTGGATGTCTTGTAGCTTTAATGAGGAAAATGTTTGTCGGAGACTCCATACGGTTATTCAGCCTCGGTTTTATCTCTGAAATTAAACCATTTCTGTCAGCTGTTGACCCCGACAAAGTTATTTGTGCTTTTATTTAATCCAGTTTGGATTATTGTATCTCCATATTCTACACTCTTTGCAATTAGTCCAACATGCAGCTGCTTGGCTTTTAACTGGACCCACGACAGGAGAACACCTCATTTAAATTTGAATCGCCCTTCATTGGTGTCCCATTGCTTCCAGAGTGCAGTTTTCTGATTCTAATAAAGCTAAGGTCAGCAGGAAGCTCCTCTCGCCTTCCTGTGTCTACGTTTGCAGCCACAGGTGACCACGGATTAACTGTCATGGCACCTAAACAGTGGAATAGATCACAATCTGCACCGCTGCTCCTACACATCCTTTTAAACTGGCTTTTATACCTCATGGACAATATTATTATTTATCTGGTTTAACTTTTTTCTATAAAATAATTGTGTTGCTTCTAGTGTCTTTTGTTAAAACACTTTCTAACCATGTTAGGAAGAGTACTGTATGAATAGTTTGTTACTTAATTTAAAACTGTCCATTGTGAGTAAAAGTGTTAGAAGAGAGTGATGCTAAATCTCTGTACTCAAGTGTTTCTAATGAGCGATCTGACTCTGTTTCCTATCAGAGCCCAGAATTCGCTGCACCTCCGACCTCATGAGGGATGGAAGCACTCTGACCTGTAAACTGATCGGAGGCATCGAGGATGATGACGATGAGGCTGGTGACATAGAGAAGATGACAGTGTGGTAAAACATTCAATCATTCATTCTTGGATCATAAATGACTCATCAACAGCATTCAGAGGAGACTCAGATAATGACAGAAATATCTGCTCTTACACAGTTACGAGGACAATTTGTCACAGCGGAAAATCTGTTTGGAGGATTTCGGGGACACGGTCACCTCCACAGACCTGAGATATACGGTTGTTTACAATGTGACTGTCCACCTAAAGAGAGGAGGCAAGATCAAAACTACAGTCTACACAAACAAAATAGGTAAATCAGTATGATAATTCAGCTGTTCTCACAGATACACCAGCAGTGGAGTTTGTCTTGAGGCTGCCCACAATGTCCTGACATCTACCAAGAATGTCAGTCAGTGGTACTAAAATGCTCCCTCTGTCCTGCACCAGCAATACTAAAACACATCCTAGTGGGCTGTAAGCCCAGCCTCACTCAAGCCTGTGTCTTACATCAGTGCTGGAAAGTCAGCGGACAAGCGTCAATGCCCTTCCTACACCCTCATCCAGCTGATCTGGGGGGTCAAAATCATTAAATCAAGACCAGATACTGGGCAGCTGATTGGAAGATGGTGGCAGACATAGAGGCTTTGCTTCCAGCTGTTATCACTTCACCCAGTCTCAGACCAGACCTTGTGCTGCGGTTTCCTCTTTCCATCTTGTCTACATTACTGAGCTAACATTGCCCAGCAAGGATGCAGTGGTACAGTCAGCTTGCACAATGCTCAACAACGTGGCTGGAAAGTGAAGGTCCAACAGGTTTAGGTAGGCTGCAGAGGATTCTTAGCCACATCGAGGCCCAAAGGCAAGCAAGCAGCTGCTTAAAAGGGCAGTCAGTGGCTCTGGATGAAAAGAAAAGAGGAAAGGGGGCACTCTGACCATCCTCCTGAGTCACAGCAGGAGTACAATCAAGGGATAAGGACACCTAGTCCTACAGGACAGGTGTGAGGCTGATGCTTGGTCATAAAGGATGTTTTATTTTGGGAGATCTCATAAGAAGAGAAATGATGTGTGAGGTGCTGATATTTTGGCCTGGTGTAGTGCGAGGGGAAACGTCAGCGGTTCATCTAAATTGTCCAGATTTAACTCTGGAAAGGAGACTTGATTTATTAGTCTCTTATCAAGTCTGAGCTGACAACATGGCCAAAGAAATCTGTTAATGTTGCTCATACTGTGGCCACGTTCCTTTCTGCTTCGGTCCAGATCAAATGATCCGGACTACAGGGATTAAAGCACAGTATACCTGCTGCTGCCACCCTCATTGTTGTCTTTTGGTTCTCTGTCCCTGCAGTTAAACCGAAAAGTCCTCAGGTGTGGAACGTTACTTTCATCCAGGAGACTAACCAGGCTGTCATTAACATTCGGATTCCGTACAAGGAAGACTACCTGAAAATAGAAAATCAACTCTTCCAGCTGCACATCTGGACCGCGGGCAGCATGGAAATGGTAACGTCACGTGATTTGTGTTGCTTCAGTTATTATTTCTACCTTTGAGAATGTCCAGCAATGACTGAATTGCTTCCTGGTTTTCCTGTTTGAGCACAGATTCAAAACGTCTCATCAGACAGCGTGATTATTGATTTGGAGCACCTGCAAAGAAACGCCGAGCATCATGTCCAAGTGCGAGCGATACCTAACAAACATCTGCAAGGTACCTGGAGCGAGTGGAGTGAACCGGTCACTTTCTTTACTCCCGCTGGTAAGAGCGAGTCAGGGTGTGCACAGTCTGCTTCTTTAAAAGGCATTAGAGAATAACGATTTTAACTCTGTCCTCTCCAGTCCAAACACCGACAGATGACAGGCGGGAGATGTACACACTGATTTTGTGTCTCGTCCCTTTTGTGGTGGTGACTTCCAGTGTTGTTTTCTTCTGGAAAAACAAGTACGACATCTCTGCTTTCTTGTAAGACAATCAGTGAATTTAGACGTCTTTCGCATGTTAATATTTCTTTTCTCCTTCAGAGCCTACGTGTGGCCGAACATCCCGCATCCTAAACACACACTGGTGCAGATCTGCAAGCCAAATAAAGTGAGTCGTTTTACTTTGAGACTGTCCTCCCAGCAAAAGCAGCGTCCTAGAGGTTTCTCTCAGTACTGTTCATTCTGTTCTCAGGATTGATCATTTAAACAACTGAGTCCCCGAAGCTAACTTGCCATGGCGTTTTCCTGGTTGCTTGCTAACAGCTGTATCATAAATAATGTCCTCCTGTCTCCTGACACTCGGAGCTCAGCTCTGTCCGGAAGATATGATCTTGGTCAACAATGCAAACTTGCATGTTAAAGTAGAAGTTGAGTGGATTTACTAGCAACCAAACTTTAACCTCAGCGATGTTGTGGACGCTTTTTAATACAGATGATGGTCTTTCTAAACGGGGCGCCAGATCCCAAAACACTTGTGTTGTTCTGTGTTTACTTTAAATGCAACTTCAATACAACATTAGTGACTGATTGCCCGTACTATGTTCACCAAACAGGGTCTCCTATTGAACTTCAAACCTGAGGTGTTCAGCGCCCTTAAAGTCAACCCCACGGAAAAAACTGACGAGCAGTCGAGTGATGAAGCAGAACCTTCGGTGCCTGCTGCTGCTGCTGCTGCTGACGGTACACAGTCGAATCACGCCTGCTCCACCCAGAGCTCTGACTGCTCACGGAGCACCACCAGTGTCAGCACAGAGGAGCTGGAGCTCTCCGCCCTGCTGAGCAGGAGCTCCTCCGAAGGAGAGGACAGCCTCGAGAGCACCAGCCCGTCCCCCATCAACGCCCTCCAGCTCGGGGAGAGTCCTGACACACCGCAGCCTGAGCGCAGCAGAGGACGCGAGGCTGAGCCTTACGTCACCATGTCCAGCTTCTATCAGATAAAGTAGGTCAGGGTGAGGACGGACGGTGAGGACAGACAGACAGACGGATAGGACCAGCATATTTATCAAGTTTGTATGAATTACACTTCAGAGTGCTCTAAAGCAGTGTCTCCCAGCCTGGAGACCAGGACCCCTCATGTCAAGTCGCAAGATAAATCCAAGGCTTTAATAAGAAAACATCTTTAATTAATTAATTAAATCATTTTTATTAGCAGCATGGCCCTGTGGCAGACTGACAAATCTCAATAACTATGTGATGGATTTAAGAAGTTTTAAATCCAAGGATTTAGCATCTTTAGTTTAAACTTTAAATGACCACATTAACGTCTCTGGTAGCATTTAAATGGCACTTCCATAACGTCGAGGGACTTTTAAACATTTAAAAAAAGAATGGGTGAAGTCTGCGCACACAAATTTTGTTAAATAGCTTTTGTTCTCATTTCTGCAAGTAAACGTGGGAGATTTTTACTTTTATCTTTCACTTGAGTCCCGAATGTAACTTGTAGCAGTTAGATGAATCTGGGTTATTGACCCAGAGGGTTTGAAATGTAGCTTTTTATATATTTTCTTTATATTCAGTATTATTTTACATGATCTCATTGATATATTGTATGATGACATACCTCCTCATACAGTCATCTGATGTTGTCCATAGTTGGTTGTTGGAGGAACCTTAGAAGATCCTACCAGTGTTTCTGCATGTTTTACAATGGTCTGTTAAGCTTTTAGTCAGGTCCACTGTGGGGAATTACCCATCGCAAGTCTACCAAGTTTCAAACCACAGTGAATACATTGATTCTGTTGGCTGCCTGGAAGGTAGTCTCACAACTTACAGCATGCTTAGGATTCATACAGATGGGTGACAAATGATAAAGTGTTGGCGAGGTGTTTTTCCACCAAGAGTTTCCAGAACAGCTTCAGTTCTTCATGTCATACATGCTCTAAGTCTCAACCGGAGGGATGAACGCAATTCTTCTGAAAGTTGTCACCTCGAATTAATGATGGTGGTTGATTAATGATCACGCCACCCCCAACTGATGGTCAGCCTCTTCAAGAACGACCAGAAGCACCTAAAGGACAAGTATAACATCTTAACTACAACCCCCTAAATAACCACTAGAACCACCTACAGGATTCCTAAAACCTCCTCAATGACCTTAACAACCACCTAACAGACCACAAGAACCATCTAAATGACACGGAGGACCTCTGAGACAACAACTAGAACCCTCTAAAGGACCACAAGAACCACCTTAATGATCCCTAGAACCTCCTCGGTAACTAGAACCACCTAAAGGACCTGCAGACCTTCCTATTACTACACACAGGACTACCAAAACATCCTTGGTGACCACTAGATCCAACTAAAGGACACCTAGAACCTCTTCATGACCCCCTACGCTTTATGTTGAATGAATTACAGATAAATGAAACCACTAAAATCACCTACAGGATCTCTAGAATAGTGACCTCAGTGACCTTAACAACCACCTAACAGACCACGAGAACCATCAAAAAGATATGGAGGACCCCCCGTGATAACAACCAGAACCCTCTAAAGGACCACAAGAACCACCTTAATGATCTCTAAAACCTCCTCAGGAACTACAACCACCTTAAGGACAACTAGAACCACCTAAAGAGCCTCTAGACCATCCTGTAACTACACAGAGGACTACTAGAACCTCCTCTGTGACCACTTGAACTACCTACAGAACCCCTAGAACCCATCTTTTCTCTAATAATGTAAAAAATGAATGAGAGATATAAGTCTGTGTTCCAGTGCTGGTTGTTCTGCATTCAGTAACGTTTCATTCATTCAGGGTTTCCTTTAAATTTGTCACCTGTCTGCATAAAGATGTAGCACCATTCTTTCAGGAGCTAAAACATACACAAACACCAGTGAGGTCTATAAACGAACGCTGCTCGTATCTGCACTTAAACTGTTAGAGAACTAAAACTCCTGCTGTGCGTGTTCATCATGCAGGTGGGACAGGCTCATTCTCACGCGGCACTCTGCCCACACCTCCACCTACCAGCGGCCCTGAACGCCAGTACATGTCATTAGGATCACACTGAGCGGTCTGCAGGTGAGATGTGGGTGTGTTGCTGCAGCAACCTGACCCGATTGTTTGCGGAGACGCCAAACACAATGCTGCTTCTTAATATATCTAACACAACCTACACCTCATGTTTTCTTACAGCAAAGGCTGACGTAGATATGCAGAATGTACGCTTTAATTTCAGAATGAAGAAATCTGATTGTAATATTTCTCTCCAGATTCAACTGTACTAAATATTCTGTATATACTTTATGGGAATGACTGATTGTACCTGTTACGACGACCAATGTTTTTATTTAAATAAAGCCTGTTGCATATCAACGTACAATAAAAGAGACAGAACTGTTGTCATTACATCATGTTTACGTGTACATCAGGACAATCAGCTAAATGATCAGAGCCCCTCTCTAAACTACATTCATTTATAGAAATGACTAACTTGTAAAAGCACAAACAGCTGGATCTTATAAACTTAACAAAAAGGTAATTAATTATTAATGCGTCCTGAGTGTTGAAAGGCCACGTGGGGCTCCTTCCACACAGTTACTGATAGTTTGGAGTTCATGTGCTTCGATTGCATTCAGAGCTTCCAGGCGTTTTTCATCATTAGAATAAAGTAGACATCGCTGTCGATGGAGGCGCTGACTCCACTGTAGTAGTTGAGAAACTCCTCTTTGGTCACCTGTTGATCAGAAGACAGATTTCACTGTTGAGTCGCAGCACGACGCCGGTCAGAATCAGACCAGATGGAAGAGACAGAAGAGTTTTACTACGAACCAGAGAAAAGGTCAGTTTATAAATCAGACAGCAGCTGATTTCCATCCAAATGAGCACGAAGTCGAGTCACTTTAATTTATTTAACCAAACTACTAATTACAAATCACACAGGCGGATCGGTGCAGCACAGAACATCTCCTATTGTTAGACTTTAACATTAAAGATGTAACTACAGACCTCCTGCACAGGGACGACATGAGGTTAAACAGCCACCACTTCATTTGGAAAAAGAGTGAATCTAAAGCTGTCGCTGAGTTAAACCTCCAGAAACTGTGTGTCTGATAAATATCAGTCAAAATAAAAGACAGATATTTTGGCAGAAAATGTAAAGCGAGCTTCACATTTGGATGGAAACAGCGAGTGAGGCTGTTTGTTCACAGAAGAGCATGATTTGGGTTTTATTAAAGAACAGTGAAAAAGCCAGAGCCGGTCATCCTGCTGGCAGAGAGACACCAGCCTACTGATGTTCGTATCCTGTATGGTTCTTTAAACCCAATTATTCATTCTGACATGCTGAGTATGTCTTCTTCTCTTTGTGGTGCATTTAAAAAACCATACAATATACTGCAGAATGTTCCCAGGTTGCATGAAGTTACTTTTCTAAAATAGGAAACAGCAGGGAGTGGAAACCTCTCCGCCCTCCTCCCACCACCCTGAGCTCCTTTACCAGCACGACGCTAAGTCAGATTTTCCAGGCATTTCTCATCATCACTATAAAGTAGACGTCTGTGTCGATGGACGCGCTCACACCGGCGTAATAATTCATAAACTCCTCCTGGGTCACCTTCAGAGAGGAACACCGGCATGAACACACATATCAATCATTACAACCTCGTTAGGGCACAGAAAATGTCTGAGGGCGACAACGTTTCTTCTGACCTGCAGAGACAGAAACTCGTCACCCACGAGGCGTTTCTTACCTTTCCATCTTTCTCATACGGAGAGTCAAAGCTGTCCAGGAACGTCCTGAAGACCTGATCCTCTGTCCACTCCCCGTTCTGATACTTGGGGTGGTACTTGGCGTTATAAACCCCGCGCAGGTCTTCGATGGTGATCACGCCGTCCCCGGTCTTATCCAGCTTCCGGAACGCCTGCATCACCACCTCCTTCCTGGCAGCTGACATCTGCGGCTGCAACGGACGGCGGGAGTAAAGAACCCTGAAACGACCCTCAGCCCATCGGCAGGCGCTCCGCGTACTTACCCTCAGAGTGGTGAGAAACTCGTCGAAGTCGATGGTCCCGCTGCCGTCGCGGTCGAAGATCTGAAAGAGAGCCGTGGCCTCTTGTTTCTCGATCAGGATCCCGTAGTCGTTCAGACCCTTCAGAAACTCCTTCAGGTCCAGGGTGCGGTTGTTGTCATCGTCCATTATCTTGAAGGTTCTGACAAACACAGAGCAGCATGAGGTCATTTCCTGTTTCTTCACAAACAGCACTGATGTGCCGGGAAGATAACACACTGTCAAACTACTGCAATACAAGTGAGTAAACTGCATTCAACCGTTCATATCAGTAACAGTACACAAGTATTATCAGAGGAAAGTTCGATTCAACATTATTTGTTATGTGATTGCACAGAGTGAGGCAGCAGAACCGTCACAGTATTCTCTCCTGTGATCATCACTGATGCATCAACAGGTAAACAACATGTTGCTGTTGTTTTCTGCACCACAGCCTGTAGAGCATCACGTGTTTTGGTTTTAGATTCTTGCAGAGTAACCACTGACTCCAGTAGTACTCCAGCTCCAGCAGTAGTATCTGTGACAGTATCTGTGCAGGTAGATGCAGCAACATCAGCAAACAAAACCACAAATCAGCAACAACACAATATTGTGACAATAAACCAAACCGAGCACAACATCCTGCAGCCTGTTAACCCTCACAGTGCCGAGCCTGCAGCGCTCGCAGGGAAACAGCAGCCTCAGCAAGTACACGCAGTACTGTACTGTACACACAGAGTACTGTACTGTACACACAGAGTACTGTACTGCATGTTACTGACAGTACACACAGAGTACTGTACTGTACACACAGAGTACAGTACTGTACACGCAGAGTACTGTACTGTACACACAGAGTACAGTACTGTACACACGCAGTACTGTACTGTACACACAGAGTACTGTACTGTACACACGGAGTACTGTACTGTACACACGCAGTACTGTACTGTACACACAGTACTGTACTGTACACACAGAGTACTGTACTGTACTGCATGTTACTGACAGTACACACACAGTACAGTACTGTACACACAGAGTACTGTACTGTACACACAGAGTACTGTACTGTACACACGGAGTACTGTACTGTACACACGCAGTACTGTACTGTACACACAGAGTACTGTACTGTACACACGGAGTACTGTACTGTACACACGCAGTACTGTACTGTACACACGGAGTACTGTACTGTACACACGCAGTACTGTACTGTACACACAGAGTACTGTACTGTACTACGTGTTACTGACAGTACACACAGAGTACTGTACTGTACACACAGAGTACTGTACTGTACTGCGTGTT